AGTAATTATTTTGCGAATTTTTGTATATTTATAGCTTATAGAAAGAGATAGATAAATATCAAAAATGAATTTTATTAATTTACATTAAAACGAAATCACCTCCTGAAATAAATAGATTAAGACCAGAAATAAAATGAAGAGATAAAAATCTTATATATCAATAAATAACAATTATAAAGTAAAATAATTTTGATCTTAATCCACGAATCTTAGAAGCTGAAAAGTATATTAAAATTCGCAAATCATCATTTAGTTTCTTAACTTAATAAGTGCATTTTCGATTTTAATGGAAATTTTAAGTCCGAAGAACTCTATTGTCATATACCGGGTGAGTAATTTGACTTATTCTTAGCCATCTGATTTCTAGTTACATATAAAATTAATATTAAAAGCAATAATAAAATTATGATTAATTTCTCATTAAAATACTTGTAGAATTTTATATTGGAAAGAATAAAGAATATTACTAAATACCTCTACTATCAAATAGAAATAAAATAACAATAACAGTAATATTCTGCAAATTTAACACTACTACGCACTACCATAGATTTCCAAATCACTTGGTCCGCCATTTTATTTTCGCAATTCCAAAAAATATGCAGCTGCTTTTAGAAAATATTCAAACAGAATCAGAAGGACAATTATGTATTCTCTTTTATTTCCATTATACCATATTAATTAATATCAATTGCGTATGCTATATTTAAGTATACATTACAGTCCGGTATTTTAACCCTTTGCATTCGAGAGGTGACCTTCAGTCACCATTTCATAAAATTTAAAAGATCGGTATTAATTAAAATATCAAATTTAATGTAATGTAACAGTATGCGAAGTATCGAAGTCAAATAACTCTACAATTCTTTATTTACTGCTCAAAAAAGTATGGTCAGTTTTTTAGTAAAGAATCTTTGATTTTCTGTTCTTCTCTAACCAAAAAGTCATCGAGTGCAAAGGGTTAAATGTTAATAATTTCATGAAATATGAACAGACCCGTGTAAATTTAGAATGAAAATTCGCCTGCAAATAAAGCCCTAAAAAATAAAAAAAATTCTCCGTTCGAACGTATGACGATTTTCGAGACACCCTGTATACTCCCCAACACGTTACGGATCCATTTGTATGATACACGCACGTAGGGAATCACCATCGAGCAATTCAAACGTTGCTTTAACGAAATAAGAAACGCGGTGCGTCCGTTGCGAAATAACCCTATGACTAGGGACTAGGGATTGCCCGGAGACTCGAATGCCCGCGAGACGCGGCGCGTGCGCGCGTCGAAGTCTCCATAGAGACCGGTGCCTATGGAAGTCCCCGCGCTGTGCGCGGACACGTCGGGAACTCTGTCCTCTCATTACACGGAGCGTGTGGCTAAACGGCTATCGCAGGATCTGTCGGACTTTTTCCGCGGATAATCGGCCGATTCTCATCGCGACGGCCGCAAAGAAATCGGAACAAATTGCCAGGCCGACCGTGAGGCACGGATCGGCCGGGGCCCGCAGCGTGGAACGGGAAGAGAAGAAAAAGGCGCTTGCCTTTTGCCGCTACGGAAGAAGAGGTGGAAAGAAGAGGAAGGCTCGCGAGGGCAGCGATGAAAATTAAGGGAAGAAAAGCAGCTCTGTGGTCCCGTTCCCACGGGGAGGAGTGGCCCGCCGAAAAGCAAGACAGCGTGAAGCAGCGGCCCAGCCGACAAAGCTGACTGGCCCGAGAAGAAGTCGAATGCTCGCGGTGCCGGTTAGCCCGGGAACGGGAAGGATGAAGATGAAGAACGGCGGTGCGTGAAGATCTGCTGCTGTCAGTCGGTGGTCAACCGTCTCCGAGGAAGGACGTGGTGCCGCGTGCTTTGCTGCCTCGCCTCGATCGTATCACTTCCTGTTTTTACGTTTAAGGACCCCCGTTAAAAAATCTTTATTCTCTCGTTAATTATTCTGTATATTTTATAATATTTTATAATTTTTATAATATTTTTTAATATTTCTTCGATCTTTTTATTTAAATCAATTCGATTTTATGCATGTTATATGTACAACAAAAATTACGTTACTTCCTAGAAGGCTTTAACTATATGAAAAAGAATGTCTAAGTCACAAAATATATTTAAGTTAAAATATTTAAATAATGAATTATTTTAATTTATAAATCGGTGCATTCTTGCTACAAGTGCACTTTTCCCTCTCACTCACTTTTAATAACGATTACATTTTCCTGCTCATTCTTTGATATTTCCAAATATTCACACTAGATGGCACTCGGTCACATTATATTTATATCACATATTGCACAGTTATAGGACAAACGAGTTTCACTCACTTAACCTCACTCATACACCCATGCACAAAACCGACACTCACACAATTACGCCTTTTCATCCGGCAAATATGCAAATCATATATTTCGCGACCTAATTAAGGAAGGAACGAAAATTTTTTGGAATTTGGACACGTGGTGCTTGCTCCGATTATACGGTAGTATAGTTATTATCATTCCTGCATAATATACGTGGCCGTTTAGTAGCTCTAGCGTTAATGATATGCAACGCGATATCGCGTGTTCGCATAATCGCCTCGCTCACTATCGAAAGTGCGAGTCACTTATCACGTTACGCTTTTCCTGAGTTGTTATCCAGGTTCGGCATAAATCTTACGCATAACTTACGCTGCAAATGAAATTTCACAACGCTAGAAATCGAAGGTTACCCGACCAAGGTCTGAGAAACGCTCGTGTGAACACGTTCGCACGGGGCTTAAGGATGTGGTCGTAGCCTGTAATGCAATGTTTGCCGGTTTTACGCGGCAATGTTCAAGAAAATATTTAAAACGGGGATCGTAAAATGGTAGCCCCGACGAAACGCGTATTGTATTAAGCGTGTACCGTTAACCTTGTGATCGTTATGGCGGATACGTATGTAAGCTGAACTGTGTATGCGGGAAATGGCTCGTCGGCGTATACATATGGTAAAAAGTTGAGAGTAAAAGTGGAAAGTAGAAATGAAGAGTAAAAGTGAGGCAAGAAGTGGAGAGGTAAATTGAAGTAATTAAGGGTATTTATTGTATTTACATGAACGTGTAAGATGATATTAACGTTAGAAAGGCTAAATTGGCTTGGAATTTTCTGCATTTTCGGCAAATTTGTGAGATGAAAATCTGATCACGTGTACTCGTTTATTTTCATTATTGGGATATTTTAATTATTGTTAGCTGTTTTTAATGTTATATATTAGGTATAGATCGTGAATTTGAAGTTTTATACCAGTCATTTTACGATACATTTTAATAAAATTAAATTTTAAACAATATAATGAAATAATATTGTTTTCTAAAGGTATATACAATATTATTTTTTATAATAATAATAAGT